ATTTCTGTGATTGAGCTTTTCGCACGAACCCTATTACGGAAAGATGCTTGGTTTAAAGAGTTTCCCGGTTTTGGGAGTTATACGCCCTCGGGTCTAGAATTCACGGTTTTGGGGAACCATGAGCTGCGGAGGTCCAGAGGCTGAACCCTGAACCTTAAACCGTAGGATGGCTTACAGGGTCATACAAACAATCTCTACCGAGGCCCCAACCACAGGCTCAGCCTGGTAAGGCATTCCCGCTTAACCAGTTGGAAAAGAGCCCTCAAAAAAAAAAAAAACCGTAAACGATTCAATAGCTACTGAATTCAGAGCTTGTGACATAGACCTGGACGGTGCCTGGGTTGATACCGCAATTCCTCCTCGTATCCTGTCATCCACCCCGGAGACGGCCGAAGCCTCAAAACCTTACTAATCCCGACTGGGCTTTAGGGTTTTGGGAAGATCTAGGAAGAATCGGGGCTCAGGGTGCAGATTTCAGGGCGGCATCTCATCTAAACTGATTGTTCAACGAATGCTGAAAGCCTAAACTGGTAACTGGCTAGAGAAGTCAACACCCTAAACCCTAAACCTTAAGAGCCTTGCGGCTGCCTAACGAGCAGGAGCGCGATCAGCAATTCTATGGAAGTTGATCGTGGCTTGGGCGACCGCCGAAGTTCAGGCCGCAGGTTCCTAGAAACAGTTACGCATGTCAGTAACAATAATAATGATAATAACAATAATATTAATCTTAACAATATTATTAATATTAATACTAATAATAAGATTAATAAAAATAATATTAATCTAATAATAATATCAACACTACTACAAGCAGCCCTGTCAGTACAAGTCTTGCTTCAGGGGCACGGACTCGCGTTCGGGGAGCTGCATCATGACCGCTTGCTCAAAGACCCTTGTCAAATCAGAAGTCTTTCCCTTCATTGCGTGCTTGTGAGAGTGTGCTGCCCAATTTCCGACCGCTTGCAGTGTTGATTGAAGCTTGTTTGAGCACGTTCAACCGCAAATGCCATTGCAGCGAACAGTTGTCGTCTACATCAGTAGGGTGGTCATGAGAGCTTCATCCAGTGGATTTTCCAGTTGTGTTCTCATGTCTATTGTTCAGCAGTATTCAGTATGATGGAGTTTGAACGGATACTTTCCATCATTGTTCAAGTGCTAAAGGACAGATGTCTTTCAGCGAAGTCAGAGTGTGGAAAGCTGGAGACCTGGAAAACAAGAGTCAGTTTAGCAGTGTGATACATGTCCTCAAACTTCTTCGAAAGTTGGGTCTGGTGAGTAGTACGGTTGATGATATAAATCCTGCATGACCCATAATAAGGAATATAACATAATTCCCATAGTTTAGGGTCATTAAGGTAATGCAGGATTTATATCATCAACCGTAGTTAGTAGACCGCACGAAAGTTTTGCATTAGAAGACAGAGACACGGAAGGATTGCTTCAACAGCACGCCTCCCGCTGGCAAGCGACCTGCGCACATCACATGTAAAGTGGAGCTGTTTGTGCGTCCGGAGCTCTGCGTTTTGAGAAGGGACGCTCTGGTTCATTGCATGCATCAAGGTGCTTGCCGACATGGTTGGTAAAACAGCTTATAAGTTGCAGCTGTCGAAGATCGTGTAGTCACTGCAAAAGCTGCAAATGCTGCACACAATGGCAAAGCGAGAGACACCTGCTTGTCCAGGCATATCCACCCTGATGCTCCCGGCCAGCTGTTTCACTGTACGGGAGCCAGTTTGCACAAGTCGAATGAAATCCTGCAGAGCCAAAATGCATCCGTTGCACACCTGCCCCACTGCAAGGCATGATTGATCATTCTGTTGTGGTGCACCTTGACGACTGCCTACATTGGACATGCCGTTTTGCAAACTCGCAGCCGTTTCGAAGCTTGCAAAGAGCCCCAGACCCCGAAACGAAAGAACAGTAATTGGTTTCGCCATGGCGGTGTCATGCTTCGAATGGTTGCTATCAGAGAGCTGCGCCGTGCTCAGACGTCATGCTCTGGCCGATGGCTCAAATGTCTGGCAGCTGTTCGTCCGAGGTTTTAGTGGCTTCCTCCCTGGGAGGCGGAGCCGGAGCAGTGGGGGGCTGGAGGCAGGGTGGTGGTGGGCTCTGGTTTCGGCGGCCTGCACGACCACCTCCTTGTTCAGGATGAAGTGCTCGACTTTGACCTGCCTTCGGAAGGCCGGCTTGCGCAGATTGTGACGTTGCTAGGGACATGAGAGCGTGCGTAGTGAAGTGCAGAAGCAGGCACGTCCATAATCGAGCCAAAAATGGCGGCCTGATGTCAGAAGGCGCCGCCTTACCCATGCCCTTTCTAGCAACCGTTAGTCGTGTTCCCAAAGAAACTTAGCAATGCCACAGGGGACGCATGGGTCACAGAGCACCACTGTGGAAGAGGGATATGACTAGTTCTAGACTGGCGAGGGTAGCGTCTTGCAGAGCAGAGCAGAAACAACTATCCCATCCGCCGTAGCCGTCTTGAAGCTTCAAACATTCGCTACGCATCAAAACACAGACCAGATCCGGCACAGTAAGAAGCATCGTCATACAGGAGAAAGAACTCACCTCGCATACAATTGTGCCAAGCAAGCCGTAATAGGGATGTCAGCCAGGGTGCGGCTGCCAGTATGGAAGCGCAGGTTCAATGCCCCGCGGCACGCGCTGCAGCAGCCTCAGCAGAACACCAGTGCTATACCAGACCAGCGCACGATCCTGAATGTCATCAGGACGGAGGTGGTGCTGGAAACCTTGAGCGGCGAAACCGTGAAGGTGAAGGCCCAACTGAACCGCAACTTCAGAAGGGCATGAGCAAATTAGACTCTAGCACAGGCACTTTGGGACTGCCGCATCTGGCAGCTCAAAGAAAAAGCGGCGAAGCTGCTCGGCGCGAGCCTCGGCAAACTTGCGTGGTGCGCACACTGCACCAAACCTCCAAAAACCCGACCTTCCAAGCAGGAGTCTCACCCGAAGTCCCCATGGCCGCCGTTGACAAGTCCACCGGCCGAAAGCTGATAGGCCACGAGCGGTGCAGGTCATCCCTTCAAGTTAAGGCGCCTTAAACCATCAGCAAAAAAAAAGAGTAGAATCCTCCGGCCAGGAAGCACACGAACCTGCAGTTCGTTGTCATCTCCGGCGGCACCGAGGACGACGACCTTTTGTCCAGACCTCAGTACGCTGGAGACGACGTAATGATCAAGCTACTCGGTTGTTGCACGTGCTTCACTCAGTTCCGGCCTCTACGCTTCGGACTCTGAGTAGAGCACCGGTAGCCTGAACCGCAGCAGCGCGTGTGCGGAGAGCAAAAAGCAGGAGGACGCCCAGGGTTGCAAGGGAAACTTCAGAACTCCTAAGGTAGTTCATCCTCCCCGGTTCCGCGAAGTCCCTGGGTGGCGAACAATCTCAGTGCTTTTCAGCTGAAAGGTCAGGTGGTCAGAGCCACCTGCTTCGTCTGAGGTCAAGCGCCTTAAGCTCTGAGCGTCAGGGATGTTGGACTCGATGAAAGGGTGCATGGCGAAGAGGAGCCGTGACCGAAATGCGGACACTGAGCGCCCTAGGACAAATGCAGTGCTGCAGCATGACAAACAGAGGCCTTCCAATGCAACGCATGGCAAGGCCCTTAGCACAGAAGCGCGAGACGCAATCGAGGCAACAAAAAATAAACTGTGCATGGCACAACAGCTTTTGTGGCTCAAGCAAAGCAAAGATTCGCGCTCCGCCAACATGGTGTTGCATTCGGACACAAACGTCACATTCTTACCCATACCTCCATGAAGCACAAACCAGTTCTTGTTATCGCGCTTCTCGTGAAAGTGTTCCAATCAATCCTGAGGCCCCACCGGATGACTTCGCTGCGGGTGGCTCAGCTCTCGCAAAGACGCAGTGACATCAAGAAGTCAGTGCAGCAACCAGGTCGCCGTGAACCGCGAACTCGAGAGGATCTACGATCGTCTCTACCCAGAGGAGATCGCGAGGTAACATACTGAAAGAAGGTTGTGCTCTGAAGTCGTCCTGTATCAGGAGCGGGAAGTCGTATCCTACATCCAGTGGGGCGAGCGCCGCTACACATTCACATGCTGTCCGGGCGATTGCTCGGAGAGTTTGCGCAGTGTGGTTGCGAGAACAACCGGGCTCCGCCTGCGTCCAAGCAAGAGGGCACTTACGGCCACACCCAGTTCGTGCACCACAGTTTTCCCGTGCCACTGTACTCTGGCAAGGCTTCTCGTACGACCTCTTCGAGCCATGAACTTACTAGTTTGAAAGCCCTGGTTGCCGCTTCCGGATGTAAGCAGCACACAAAGTACCCCGAACAAAGGATCGCATCAGGCAGAAGGCTGCATCCGTTCTACACGGAGTTAGCGAACCTGCAACTCTCGCCCGTGCAGGGGATCCGATTAGCGAGAGGCTCAGGAAGAAAAGTGGACCGGGGTATCTCGCCGCACATACCTCTCAGCATCGCGGTCGCAGGTGCATTATGCCCATGAGATCTCGTGAGAGCCACTGCCGACGCTGCAAGCGATGCGCGCGGCCAGCTCGAAAAAAAGCGGACTTGACAAACCAGGACTACATGGCTCAACGGGAGAGAGAGAGAGAGGTAAGAGGAAAGAGAACGAGGAACCTGCAGAAACAAAGACAAGCCCAGAAGTTAAAACACCTACACACAGAATCAGAATAGCACCACTCCTGGGTAGGGAACAGCTCCGGGGCCTCGCCAACGAGAGGTCAAATGGACAGAGCCACTTGCATGCCTGGAGCCAAGCCCTTTAAGCTCTGAGCGTCAGGAGGAAGGGGGAGGAACTCAGAAGCAAATCTCGGAGTTATATAGCGCCGGGTTGATACAGAAAGGAGTAAGCTGGAATCACAAGCTGATGAACGGCACCGGTTTTCTGTACGGAAGCCTGAAAATAACAGTGGAAAGAGGCCATGCGCTGCACAGTGCAGACGTGCAGCCGAAGTTACTCACCGCAACTGACCGCCTCGTGTTGCAAGGCCCTGCCTCACCCATGCCTGCTCTAGCAACCACCAGTGGTACTCCCCGAGTACATGTTAACGACAGCGGTGGACGCATGGATCTGCCAGCGCCATTGTGCAAGGAAGTCAGACTAGTGCGACACCGGCGAGGGCAGGGTTTCCTTGCTTGGACGGGATCATTTGCCGATCCGCCAGAGGGTGAGGTAGCTCATCTTATTGCCGGGTGCATTACGCCGCGTCCTGCACTCGGAGTTGCTTCGTGCGAAAGTGCCACCTACAAGCCCAGCAGATCTTTCCAGGTGCGAATGGTGGATCATGAGGTCTTGGGCCCAGGAAAAATGCTCGAAAATGTTCTGAAGCACTCTGGAACAGCTGTCCAAGGTCTCAGTGGCCATCTACGATTTGCCCTCGGCCGAGACGGTCAACTCCGTGTTGGCGGGCTCAGAACAAACTTTGCGGTTCACTTTGGTTCCTGGTGGCCTTAAACCCTAAACCCTAAACCGTGACCAGCTGTAGGCTGAGACCTTTGCAGACCGGTTTCTACCACGTCGGGGTGCAGGTCTGGTATGTCTAGCTGCCGTGGCTTGATTTTTGAACTTACCTTTGGTTAGTAGGGAATGGAGGAATGGGGCACAATTATAACTACTATTGCTACCATTCTTCCATTCCCTACTAACCAAAGGTAAGTGAAGCTGACTTCCACGTTTGTTGCGGGGATCTGTGCGGGACAGGTGCAAGGATTTGAGTACAGCTTCGACGCAACGCCGGATCCATCCGGGAGTGGCGTGTGGTGCTGTAGGTCGGTCCGGCTTCACGTTTTTGGTCATATATCTATATCTATATCTATATCTATATCTATATCTATATACATATATACATGGTAGTTGATCTAAAGCTCCTTGTGGTATAATTTATATGAACGGCCAACTGCATAGCTAAATATGCCTTCGCGAAAGTTCCGCGATGGTGCGGCGAAAGTTACTTGAATTTTTGCGAAAGTTATGTGTTGACCTACTGTTATTTTTACTATTGCTATTACTATTACTACTGCTACTGCTACTACTGCTACTACTACTACTACTACTACTACTACTACCACTACCACTACCACTACCACTACCACTACCACTACCAATACCACTACCACTACAACTACCACTACTACCACTACTACTACTACTACTACTACTACTACTACTACTACTACAACTACTCCTGCTACTGCTACTACTACTACTACTACCACTACTACTACTACTACTACTACTACTACTACTGCTACTACTACTACTACTACTACTACTACGACTACGACTACGACTACGACTACGACTACGACTACTACTACTACTACTACTACTACGACAACTACAACGACTACGACAATTGCGATGACGATGTCGATTACGATGACTATTGCTGCTGTTGTTACTGTTACTGTTGCTAATACTATTACTGTTACTATTGCTACTACTAGCACTACGACAAGTACTGTGACTTTACGCTCTTGCCTTGCAGCACTGTCGATGCTAAGTGTAAGCAGCGACAAACCCAAAAAATAGGTTCGTGTGGAGGATTTAGCGCGTAAGTTCCGCGCAAGTTCCGCGTAAGTTGCGTTAAAGTCGAAGTCGCCAGATCAAGGCCACCCCCCAATGGACATCTTAGGGTTTGGATTTCTGACGAAGTCCCCTGCAGGGTTCTCGATGGCAAGGCTATTGGGGGGGCATAATCGATTGAGAGTTCACAGGAATCAGGTGTCTAGCTTGCAAAGGTATGTAAGTATGCCTCCGCGAAAGTTGCGCGACGGTGGCGCGAAAGTTACCTTTTTATCTGTGAAGAAGGTCATTCCGGGACGAAGCAATTTAGATCAACAACCACATATAAACATATATATATTATATATGGATGGTTGTCGAAATAATGGTCCCTTCTTGGGTCCTTATTATAATACGGCACCTATTATTTAGGGTACCCATAACCATAATTTTGACAAACACCCAAATATATATATATATATATATATGTATGTATATATATATACACATATTTGTGTATGTGTGTATATATATACTTTACACATACATACATACATACATATATACTTATATGTTCGTTGTTTTTCTTACTTTCTTATTTATGTATGTGTGTATTTTTTGCTACCCTCGCCCCTTCCGCTGTTGTGCTTTCTAGACTTTGCGACTCTACACCGCACACAGGTCTTACATCCCACCACTGTTCAAAGCAAGATTATAATCCTAAGTGTTGCCTAGTGTTCCGTGTCTACGACGACGCGGACCCCCTCAAACCAAAATGGTCATGCAAAGTATAGCCTAGTATTCCCTGTACGATGATGCAAACCCACTGAAACCAAAATAGACATTGCAAAGTACTGCCTAGTATTCCATGTCTACGACGACGCGAACCCCCTTCAATGCAAAGTATTGCCTAGTGTTCCGTGTCTACGACGACGCGGACCCCCTCAAACCAAAATAGTCAAGCAAAGATATGCAAAGTATAGCCTAGTGTTCCCTGTACGACGATGCAAACCCACTCAAACCGAAATAGACATTGCAAAGTACTGCCTAGTATTCCATGTCTACGACGACGCGAACCCACTTCAAGCAAACATGAATATGCAAAGTATTGCCTAGTGTTCCGTGTCTACGACGACACGAACCCCCTCAAACCAAAATAATCATAAAACGTATTGCCTATATAGTATTCCAGTATTCCCTGTTTACGGCGACTCAAGCCCACTCAAGCCAAAATAATCATGCAACGTATTGCCTAGTAGTCTCTGTCTACGACGACGCGAACACCTTCAAACCAAAATAATCATGCGAAGTTTTGCGTAGTGTTCCTTGTCTACGACGACGCGAACCGACTCAAACCAAAATAAGCATGCAATTTATTGCCTAGTGTTCCGTGTCCAGACGACGACGCGGACCCCCTCAAACCAAAATGGTCATGCAAAGTATAGCCTAGTATTCCCTGTACGACGATGCAAACCCACTCAAACCAAAATAGACATTGCAAATACTGCCTAGTATCCCATGTCTACGACGACGCGAGCCCCCTTCAAACAAAAAAAAATATGCAAAGTATTGCCTAGTGTTCCGTGTCTACGACGACGCGGACCCCCTCAAACCAAAATGGTCATGCAAAGTATAGCCTAGTATTCCTGTTTTACGACGATGCAAACCCACTCAAACCAAAATGATACCGCTAAGTATTGTAGGATGTCTTTTGTATACTAGTAAACAGCTAGACTGAGAAAACATATGAGATACCTTTGTGTTGCTGAGGACCAAGTCACTTGGATGGGGGGCAAGGTTAAGGATTTAGGGTTTGCAACGACAGACGTTCATGAAAGCACGGCGCTTTTCCCTTTATCATACACAAATCCTGCTCCGGTCTGTTCGATTTTCGCAGGAGTGAAACTTCTGGCACCACCCAATATCATCACGTGCAGTTTCAGTGTGGTATCCTGTATCATCAACTTTGTCATCAGATACAGCATACATATATGTATGTATATATACCCCCCGTGTTATATGTATACATGTCTTGCTGTGCTCATGTATGTTGCCGCATTATAGCACAACAAATAAGCTGAATGTGACGATACTGTTCGTCGTTGCATCATATTCAATTGTTTGTTGTGAGTGTCATATTGCAGAAACAATATGATATTCTGATCTATATCATATTATTCAGAAATCTATCACATTATAACATTATCATATTGCACAAGATGAAGAAATGAATATGATGTAATTAATGTAGTGGTTGTCTCCATAGCACGCACATGTACAAATTATTTTCATTGCATCCTCGTATCCGTCTGCATTGAAACCAGCATTGAAGAAGTTGAATGCACCAGACCCGTGGAACCAAAAGCGAAGATGCCGGGACCATTGAATCTTGGATCTTGGTTCGGTAGGCCCGGCTGCATTTAGATCTGCATTGAAAAACTGAACTTCAATGCGCCCGGGCCCCAGGAACCCAGAACCAAGATGCCCAAAACTTTGGAATCTTGGTTCTTGGTTCAACCGTCCTCGCTGCGTTGAGATCTGCATTGAAAGACTGAATATGGACTGTATGATCTATATATATATATATATAGACCATATATATATATATATATATGGTCTATATATATATATATATATAGTAAGTAAAAAGTAGGTATACACATATACAGTATATATGCGTGTGTATTATATACATATATATATACACATATATATATATATGTATAAAAAAAATATACATATATATATATATACACACACACACACGGGAGGTCTGGCATGGTACCCTGCGCGTTGCGTGGACTCCGGACTTTCCACGTGAAGCTGCCGGAGGGAGAGGCAAGAAATGCAACGCGTTTGAATACCGGTATATGGTGGTAATTGTGGCATCATTTAGTGGTAGTGTTCTTGGTGAGGTGAGAAGTAGGCACAATCCACGGCGTGCAGCGGAGCCAGCGTACCAACCCACGCCGGGCTAGGCAAAACGGGCGACCTTATAGGGCGTCGTAGCTGGAAGCCGGACCATTCAGGACGACGCTGCTGTTATCCTACAATTGAGGGGTCGCCAAAGCGTGACACAGAGCCTGACAGAGCCAATGAGGACGACGAGGGGAGAGGGGTTTCGCCCTGAAACTACATCATTTATGTTCGTCCATGTCGTCGCCCTCACGTAAATGAGCAGTCTCCTTGGCATGAACCCAAGAAGGAGATATTCGGCATAATCATAATCCATCTGTTGCATTTGGTGTAGGTTTTTTTCGGATAATTAATATCTGAAATTGATAATACGGTTGTTCGTGAGGTTTACGATATTCTAGATAAGATTCTTTTCTAAACCATTTATCCTCAGATTTCGTCATTGATTTTTATATATGAATATTGTCTTAAATTCTTCGGATAAATAAGGGCGATGATCTATTGATTTGAATTAATTCGTATAATTCTTATGAACGCCTCTTTATTCTTTCTTATTCATAATTCTATATTATTGTCAATAGTGGATTAATCCTAATATTTTCTAGATTCTAGCCTAGTATCTAATAATTTATTTTTATATTTGATATTATATATATATAAATATTATTCTCTATTCTTATTTATTTTTTTCTATAATATAAATTATTCTATATTCTTTTCTATATCTTATATTTCTATTCTTTATTCTATTCTATATTTTATTATTATATATTGTTTGCATTCTCTTCTAAATTATCTATGTTCTATGCTAGTCTCTATTCTATTTTATTCTATTCTCGATATCTTATTTTCTTATATTCTTCTCTTTCTCTTCGATTCTATTCTAATAGTCGATCAAAAAAAAAAAAATACTAAAAAAAAAAAAAAAAAAAAAAAAAAAAAAAAAAAAAAAAAAAAAAAAAAAAAAAAAAAAAAAAAAAAAAAAAAAAAAAAAAAAAAAAGAAAGAAAAAAAAAAAAAAAAAAAAAAAAAAAAAAAAAAAAAAAAAAAAAAAAAAAAAAAAAAAAAAAAAAAAAAAAAGAGGAAGAAAAAAAAAAAAAAAAAAAAAAAAAAAAAAAAAAAAAGAAAAAAAAAAAGAAAA